TTTTTGGATATCTAGATTATTTGATTACTAGATATTTGATTATTAAATTTATATTATTATATATCTGGAATTCTAGATATATAGTTTTTTATATCTAGACTGTGTGATATATGCAATTTTAAAAATCTAGAATGTTTTATATCTAGACCTTTTGATATCTAGATTCTGTGACATCTGCAATTTTAAAAATTTAAAATATTTGTTATCTAGATTCTTTGATATCTGGAATTTTGAAAGTGTACATTTTTTGATATCTTGATTTTTTATACCAAATATTTTGGGTATCTAGATTATTTGGATATCTAGAGTATTTTATTACTAGATTATATTATTTCATATCTGGAATTTGGAAAATCTAGATTTTTGATTATCTAGAATTTTGTATATCTAGATTTTTTTATATCTAGATCTTTTGATATTTAGATCTTCTTATATCAAGACTTTGCGATATATCCAATTTTGCAAATTTAGAATTTTTGATAACTGGACCTTTGATATCTAGATTCTGTGATATCTGCAATTTTTAAATTTGATTTTTTGATACCTCGATTCTTTGATATCTTGATTCATCTGATTTATCTTTTTATTTTTGGGTTGAGTTTTTGATATCTTGATATTGGATATATAATAATTTTGTATATCTGAAATCTTTTGAATATCTGATTTTGTTTAGTTTGTATTTTGAAAATCTACATTTACTACTCGAATTTTAATATCTGAATTTTTGACAACTGGGATTTTCATATATGTATCTGAATTTTTGGTTAATAGATTATTATCTATATGAATTTTTGGATATCTGAATTTTGTTAATCTAGATTTTGAGATATTTAAATTTTACGACTTTATTTTTTCACATATTAATTTTATGAATTTGGATTTCATTTTATTACTCACTTAAATATAAGTTACTTACATTATTTAATTATACAATATAGAAATCTATACTATGAATCCAAAATTTATGGCTGTTATATTTTCATACAAAATACAATATAGATATTTTAAACTGTAAATTTTAACAAAAATCTTGGAAACTTGGAAAACTTGGACAAAACGAACTTTAACATACATATTTTTTTTCTGGAACTCATCATGCCATCTTATAGATATCTTAATAATTATCTTAAATAAATTAATAGTTATTGATATTATTATATAAGTATCCAACTTTATATGTATGCAGAAAAAATGAATACTATCACATCTATTTTGCGCTATATTTTATAAATTTAACATAAATACAACCACCATCAGTTATTATAAATTACTATAAAAAATATAACATAAGAATTAGTAGCTTATAAAATTATTTTATCACTCTTATTTTTTTTTTATTCCGGTGACCTGCACTTGTCCACCACTGCTCCGGCCGATATTCTCACGCAAGTGTATCGTTCTTTCGTTCAATTTGAGATACATGGAGAACACTTAGGGCATTTTTTATCGGCATTTTTTTTCTACGAGTCTGTTTATTTTCATTTGGATTCATTATTATACATACATACATACATACATACATACATAGAGACTCACATAAAAATAAAAAAAAATACTTGAAAGATTTTAAATTTCGTGTTTTATGTAATACAAGTTACACTAATGTGTTTTTATAACTTTGATGGATAAATATATATGTGTAGGAGTTTTTTTTTATATGAGTCTACTACTAGACCTCACACTACATGGACTGCTAGTCGAAAGCAAAACTAGTGGTGTATGGCATCGTGCCTTAAGGCAAATTGCTGGAACTTCCCGTACCGTAACGAAATGTTCGAGGAATATTAAATGTTTTCAAAAAGATTATTATAAATACTGTAACATTGTCTAATATTTATAAGAATTGTATAAACTGAATCACAAAGTCAAAAATATTTATTTAGCTCTGTATCATCGAAATGGCTGGGCCTGCTTTTGCCAAAAATTAATAGCCACTTCCCCCAATCATAACTAATTGAATGTTTTTTAGATCATTCAAATTGGATGCTCCAGTCTCTCAAAAACTCTATTTCTATTTTCTGCACTCTTTGCTCTTTATCTCCGTAATGACTGGACCTGCATTTGCCAAATCTAATCTAATCAGTACGTCTCCTTATCAATAGGAATCGAATGTTTTTTGAATAATTGAAATCGGTTGAACCGCGTTCCCGAAATCGTCGACTAAAATTTGTATCCAAACAAACACACACACACACACACACACACACATACACACACCCTTTTCTAAAGTTTGCCAAAATGTTCAGAAACCTCTGAAACGTAAAGATATATAGTGTAGTGTAAGATCTATGACATATGACAATTAATTAATCGGAAGTATCCACGATTGTCGGCAACGCTCGTTCACTAAGTGACGTCACAGTTCCTTCTATCTTTAGACAGTTTATAAAATGGAAAACATATGAGGACTAGCAGTCCGTGCAAAGCATTTTTTATGCTTATGACATTTAATCCAACGGGTGTGTTCCACGACTGTCGACAACGCTCGTTCACTATGTGACGTCACAGTTTCTTCTATCTTTAGACAGTTTATAAAATGGAAAACATATGAGGACTATCAGTCCAAGTAGTGTAAGGTCTAAGGTTGGGATATATATTTATATATGTGTGTCGGCGGTTTAACGATATAAAAATACATTAGGATAGGAAACATGTGTTGAAAATGTTACTTAAAAGAATCTTTGTGGAGACATTTTGTAGTTTTTTTTCTGTATTTATTACTTATTTAGATAAATAAATATGTCAATGGATACTTTTAACGTAGATGGAATAAATTTTAAGTGGATTGAAGGAATATTTTTAAGATGAGATTTACTATTCGTTCTTATTGGACAGGGGATAATTTATTGTAATCGTCCAAAAATCGAAAATAATTCTTGCATATCTTCACGTTTCAGAGGTTTCTGAACATATTGGCATACCTCAGAAATAATGTCTGTGTGTGTATGCATGAGTGTATTTAAAGCAATTTGTTTAAAATTACGTAGCCTAAAATTTTGTCTGAGGTCAAACATCCATACCACAACTCCTTAGACACGAAAAATGCTATTAAAGACTAGCAATTGATTAATAATTGAAACCAACATATGCAGAACGGTCGTATTGTTTAGTGTTTTGTGTACCTACTTTCTTAATAAATTCATTTTTCTACTTAAATTTTTGTGTAATATAAAGTTATTCATTATATATTCATCTTTTTCCAGATGATCTCCTGGTCCAAAATGTCAATTCTGTGACACCAACCTGGAAATCCGGGCCATCCAGACTTCCAAATCATCACAGAATGAGACGTCTCTGATGACAACACATTGCACTTTATATTTCTTTCTAAAAGAAAGATGAATTTAATATCCAAATGGCTCATTTTACTGATCTACACATCACCTGTCAGCAGATGCCAGCAGACCCAACCAAAAGGTATCCTTAAAGTATCGCCAGATTACCAAATCGAAGAAGACAGTCGACATCATCATCACCATCATCAACAAAGTCGAAAGAAGACTTCGGATGATGAGGATGAGGTGACGCATAGGAAGCATCATCATCGACTTGCTAAAACTCATCATGGACAGAGGAAACATGATTTGTTAGAAGATTTGACGTCCAGTGACAAAGTTGGTAAACATGCATCAATTTCTGATGATGAAGAAAGTATTTTGACGTCACTTCATGTTAATCGTCAACCTAGTGGTGTAAATTTAGACGGTTCTTCTGTTTTGCGCGTTGGTGGCGAACAACTTCCATCTGGTAATCCAGAAATTGCACATCCAAAATCACATCATAGAAATCCAGGAGTTTCAAGAAACAAAGCAAGTGGTGAACCAGGAATTTTAGATGTGGTGTCCAAACACCAGCAACCAGCAAGTAATGTCCAACGAGTCTCTAGTCCTGAAAACCTAAAAGTAAAAGATAACCAGAACTCTAGAACCAGAGATGATCCAGAACCATCATCCGAAGAATTGGATGAGGATTTTGAAGACTACGAGGACGAAGACGAGAATTTTGATGACCATTTGGAAGAAGATGATAATTTGGGTGGTGCCAAAGGTCCTGATGATTTTAGTGAAGAGTTGGATGGCGACTTGAATTTTGGAACTGATTTGGAGAGCACTGATGGCAACAGGGATAGTTTACCAGTTTTCTTGGAGGAGCCTAAGAATGCTTATGTTATCAAGAATAAACCTGCAACGTTGTGGTGCAAGGCTGCTAATGCGTTACAGGTAATAATAGATAGATGAAAGGAAACTTATTAGGGATTAAGGATTATTAACAATCAATTTTCTTTAGGAAAGGTCTTGTTAATCCTTTTGCTTGTGAATAGTTCCTTTTTTAGCAAAGGTTGCTTTGGGAACATACGTCTCCTTTTTATTTTTTTAGAACGGCTTGCTTTTTAGTAGAGTTTTTTTTGCCAACTCTGCTTCAACAATGTATGATCTGGCAAATGCTACCAATTTTGGTGGATTTGAGAATAATAGATCAGATTCTTGTAAATTCTTTTGCTTGGGAGTAGAGTTCTTTTTCTAGCAAGGATTGCTTTGGCAACGTATATCCAAGTATATAGTACCAGTTTTAGTTAAACAAAGTACTTGGTCTATGATAATGAATTAATATAAGGCAGCATTCTTGCCACGTTCCACTTCAACAGAGCTTTCTTATTTTTCTGGAACGTCTTGCTTGTTAGTAGAACTTTTTTGCAAACCTAGCTTTGGCAGTGTATAATCTGGCAAATCCTACCAGTTTTGGTGGATTCAAGAATAAAAGATCAATCTAATCCTGATGATTACCCTTTTTTAGCTTGAATTCAAGTGTTCAGGCATGAGCGAAGGCAGACCTCCTCCTGGAGTCCGAGAGACCCACGTGGATCCACAGAATGGAATCAGATTTTTGGAGAGCTCTGCTGAAATTTCCAGGGACATGATCGAGGAGTATTTTGGACGCAAAGGTAACTTGATAGATATCAAATTTGTGCAGTTTATTATATTTAACTAATTGATTTTTTTTTCAAAGGTTATAGATGTCACTGCATTGCTGTGTCTGCAAGGGGTCAGATTAAGAGTCAGTCTGCTACAGTGCAAGTGGCATGTGAGTATAATTTTTATTCACGTTTTTAGATTTTTTGATTATTTAGGATTGAGAGAGTCAATTTTTGATTTTAGGAAATTGCATTAGTTTAAGGTTCCGTACTATTATATAATAAATTCATAAACAATTTTCTCTTAGTAATAAGAGAAACTCCTTAAGATGTTCAGGTTAAGGCAGTCTATTACTGTCGTGTAAATTTTCTGGATATGTTTAAAAGTTTTTACTGTGATATCAGAATTTTGATCAGAAGAATCGTGCCATTAGCATTGCTCAGGAGCCCTTAAACAAGAACTGGTGATTACCGCAACCCAAATGATCTATTTTTTGCTATAATTTTTATATTGATAGAAAATCACCAATTGATCGATCATTTGACATATGCACATCAAATTATCAGATATTGCATAGAAAATTTCACAATGTTTACAAATTTTGTTCCTTTTTTTGGTTGCCATTTTTTGTAGTTTTTAAAGTACACTTATATAGTTCAAACATATGTCCTCGACATTTGGGATATTATGGATTTGAACGATGCGAAAAACGTTTGTTTATGAAATTTTTGAGAGAACGGATCATCCGATTAGATTGATTCGAAAAACATTTTGCTTGTGTTGACGGTGTAAAGAAATGTTTTTAAAAAAATGAAATTTTCACAATATTCAGAAAAATACACTATTTCCAAAAAAAAAATCGTAACTATTTGAAAATAAAACTAGTGGCACATGGCATAGTGCCTTAAAGCAAATTGTTGAAACCTTTAAAACGTGAAGATATGCAAACATTTTTATTTCAATTTTTTTTGCGATTACTATAACTTACCCAACAGGAAGTTAAAAAAAATCAGAAGTAAAAAGATCACTTCATTCATAAAATTTTTCACAAAAAAAATTCATTTTCGAAACAATTTTGAATTTAAAAAAACCAGTTTGTGTAAAAAATGCTTGAATTTTTTTTTTGTAGATTACGCTCGTCGTCCAATTTAATAAGATAATTAGAATTTTAATTTTAATCAAAGCTCACGTATACACTTGAAATAAATAATTTTAACTTTGCCATTCAGTTTATATAATTCTTGGAAACATGAGATAAGGTCCTTTGATTCTAAATCCGCTTGATTAAGTTTTGTTTATCCTTTTTCATGTAAACATTTACATATAAACGTCTTCGTGCAGTTTATCAGCTCTTAAATTTTGTCTACAAAATACGATTAAAGAAAGTTACAGTATTTATAATAATCCATTTGAAAATACTTTATATTTCACTACGAAACGCAAAATTCCAGCAATTTGCTTTAGGGCACGATGCCATACACCACTAGTTTAACCTCGAATATTTATGGACCGATTCTGGCTGCACAACAGGCCAATGTCATGGCAAGGCTATGTTATAAAGAAGTTTCCATACTTAATATTGCCAAAAGCCATGTAGTTGCTGTGTTGTCAGGCGTTTTTTTCAGGTTGTCAGATAGAAAACCTAACTTAGAAACCGCACAAAGGTCAAAAAACGATCTTAGTTAACAGCGTCTTTCTGACCCAGCTCCATAACATACGTGTGACGTTGCAGTTTATGCGTAAAACGCCTGAATGCACAGCAAATACATGATATTTTGATAGTATTCAGTAAGATGAAGTAGAATAATGGATGCAAGTTGGAGCATAACATGGCCTTGCCATAAAATTTTTCTGTTGTGCGGCAGAATCGATTCATTAATTCCGGTACGGAAGGTTCCAGCAATTTGCCTCATGGCATGATGCAATGCACCATGCACTAGTGTTTGTATTTGCGCTTTGTGTATCTGTGTATCCTTTATATGTGTCTTCGTTAGTGTATTTGTGTATTTCTACGTGTATACATATTTGTGCATACACCTTGTCGACGTCTTGCAACAAGCACTTTTTTCAGTATGGGTCCGAACCAGCTTCCTTTTCTGTTCATGATCGGTAGATTGCTTAGTAGACTTCTTCTTTCTCCCACTCTTCTCAGCACTTTTTTTGTCGGTCTTTCTTAGAGTCCATGTCTCTGATCGATGGAGCTATGTTCACCCAATGCAGACAACTTGCAACGGGCCCTTTTCTCAGCATGGGTCCGAACCAGCTTCCTTTTCTTTTCATGATCGGTAGATTGCTCAGTAGACTTCTTCTTTCTCCCACTCTTCTCAGCACTTTTTTTTGACGGTCTTTCTTAGAGTCCATGTCTCTGATCGATGGAGCTATGCTCACCCAATGCAGACAACTTTTTTTATTTTGGGGACCTTTGATATTGATTAAATAATCATCAATTTTATTCCGGTACGGAAAAATCTAGCAATTTGCCTTAAGGCACAATGATAAACACCACTAGGGGGCGTCCATTAATCATGTGAGGTTATCAGGGAGGAGGGGGGGGGGGTTTGACAAAAAATTACGAAATATTACGTAGGGGAGGGAGGGATATAGGAGTATATCACGTGTATTTATTTTTTAACTAATTTTTTTAAAAAAGTTCAAACATTTTCAAAAAAAAAAAAATTAAAAATTTTACACTTTTTTAACGTAACTAAAAATACACGTGATGTATGGTGGGGGAGGGGGGGTTAATTTTGAATATCACCATGGATCACCAAAGGGGAGGGGGGGTCTAAAAATCCTTAAAAATGCGCTCACGTGATTAATGGACGCCCCCCTAGTGTTTTTATTTGCCCCTTTGTATGTGTCTTCGTTAGTGTGTTTGTGTATACACATTTGTGCGTGTGTGTTTTAGTGTTCGTATTTATATTTGTATTTAATTTCCGCCAATTCCATCGGCATTATCTCCGAAAAACGACATCACGCACGAACGCCATCGTCCCATCGTCGTAATAAAATAAATCACTTATAGTTCGATGTAGCTTTACAAAATCCCCACTATAAATCATTTCCGAACGCGTATACATACTCGTATATCATTACATTGTATTAATTCCGATTCGGAATATTCAATGATTCAAAAACGAAACAATTTCACATTTTCACATCAAGGAAAATTCATTAAAACCGAAAACAAGAGACTAATATTTTTGTTGTAATTTTTGGACGCCATTTGGCTGTTTTGCGTAGGGCTGGGACTACCCTAAATTTAATAAAGATTTGACTTATTAGAGAATATGCCTAGAATACTGCGAAGACAGGTCCATTGATTAAAGAGGCTCTAGTTGACTTTCTGAAGGAGAAGTTCACTTCCGCCAGAATGTCGAATATGGCAATGCTATTCTGAATCGTTTGAGACCAAAATTCAACTATTAATGTATGGCATTGTGCCTTAAGGCAAATTGCTGGAATTTCCCGTACCAAAAAATATTTTTTTTAAAAAGATTAACATTTTTGAAAAAAATTTACTCTGAAAAAATTAGATTTTTGAGAAACTATAAATTTTGGACAAAAACTTACTTTTTTTGAAAAAAAAAAAAGACTTTTTGAAGAAAAATTTATTTTGAAATATTTTGGAAATTCTGAACTTTTTTTCAAAGCAATCGTACTGCTTTAACTGCATAGAGACGAAATATTGAAGCGCGTAAGCGCCGCGTTGCCGTCTAACGGGTAAACACTGGTACGGAACCCATAGGAATGTAAACAAAATTTGTACTTATTGTTAAAATCTCTATAAAATATCTGATAATTTGATGTGCATATGTCTAATGATCATTTTTGACCGCCAAATGGAGTTTTTTTTGCACTAATTAGCACGTCTCCTTATCAATACGAATCGAATGTTTCTTGGTTTATTCAAATCGCTTTATCCGTGTTCCCGAAATCGTCGACGAAAATTTGTATCCGCACACACACACACACATACACACATTCACACATACATCCATTTTTTCTAAGGTATACCAAAATGATCAGAAACCTCTGAAACGAAAAGATATGTAAAAATTATCATTTTCGTTTTTTTTGCGATCACTATAACTTACCCTCCGGGAAGATAAAAATAAATTATCGGATTTTGATTCGTAATTCAAAAATTACTGAATTAATAAAAAGCTTGGTGATAATATATCAAAATCTTGAAACATGAAATATGCCAATTCAATTTAAATAGAGTCAGTTTCTGATTAGGTTGTCTCTTGCGAAGACTATTATTAAGGAACATTTATATGTGGCGTGTTTTGCAGTGGGTAAACTATTCATATATTTTTTGTTGGCTGCTCCTTTCACTTATGCACAATATTTGCAATCAGTTATTTTCATACTAAACATCTTATACTAGAAATATTTTTTATGGCAAAACAACGTTTGCCGGGTCAGCTAGTATATATATATATATATATATATATATATATATATATATTGATTTACATCCCCTTTATTAATTTATGTATAGTTTAATACAAAGGCATTAATTAAAACACAGATGGGGACGCTATTGATATATAATAGGCATACCATATATATATATACTCGTATATATATATATATATATATATATATATATATATATATCCACAAATTCCAAAATGTCAATAGTTCAATTATAAAGTGGCAACTTGATCTAAGGGTGGAATTGATACGTAATTACATGGTTTGTGTTTCAAACGCGACCGAGAGAGGGGCGCTAGTGGTTGTCGATGGTTGTCAACGTTGGTACTCCTGCTCAATAGAACGACGAGAAGTGAGGATAACATGACTACGAGAGAGTGAGGAGGGGGGGGGGGTTGATTATCCATTTAGTTGATAATTAATGTTTAGATAATTAAATGAAAATTTAATTATAGATATACAAAAAAATATTGATTTCCTGTGGGGTAAGTTATAGTAATCGCAAAAAAATGAAAATTATTACGTATATTTTTACGTTTCGAGATCTTCTGAACATTTTGGCATTTTTTGGCAAAGGCAGGTCCACTTGTTCTGGAGGTACAGAATAAAGCATGCTAAATGTGAGGTTTTTAAGTATTAATATAAAAATATTTTACTGAGGAGTGAAGAATTGATTACGATTTTGGTAGCAGTTTTGAAGATGCATGAAATATGGTAAAAATTGGCATTTATTGGTCAAATGCAAACTAAAACTAGTTGGTATTGGTATTTTGCCATGGGTCAAGTTACACGAACTTTCCGAAATGTGTTATAAACGACTTAATCAACAGAAATTGAGATTCATATATTCAGATAATCTTAAAATTTTCTGTAATTATATTGAATGTATTGCACAGATGAATAGTCGTATCATTTTTCGTCCACGTTTTCGGGCGCACGGATCAACCGATTTGAATGGTTCTATGAGGAATCAAGTAGGCAGTTGTAAGAAACAAATATTCTTGTCATGACATTTTGTATAGTTCAAAAAACATTCGATTCCTATTGATAGAGAGATGTGCTAATTAGTTTTTGGCAAAGGTAGGTCAAGCCGTTACTGAAAGAATGCAGAAAATAAAAATCGAGGTTTCGGAGCATCCGATTGAATGATCCAAAAATCATTCAATTTTTAATGATTAGGATAAGTGGTGATTAGTTTTTGGCAAAGGCAGTTTTGGAGATACCCAGCTAAATGTGCAAAAAATGGCAGTTTTTGAGAGAACTAAGCATCTGAAATGAATTATTCAAAAAAATTTCTGCTTAATTTTTTTTTTTTTGTATATCGAAAATAATTCAGATTTTAATTTTAATTCTAGCTAAAGTTCTAAAGCTATTTTATATACTTTAAATAAATAATTTTAATCTTGTAATACAGTTTATATAATACTTATAAATAAATATTTGACAACGTTACAGTATTTATAATAATCTATTTGAAAACATTTAATATTCTTCGAACATTTCCTTACGCTGCGGGAAGTTCCAGCAATTTGCCTTAAGGCACGATGCCATACACCACTAGTTAAATCAATTCAAATTCAATATTTGTATGTATAATTTTGTGTATCTGAGATTGGGCTTGTTTGCGATGTAGTTTTGTTTATATGTGCATTTTTTGTGTACATTTATATCAATAAGTACGTGTTATGTTTGCTTTACTTTCTGTGATAATATTCAGTGATCCAGAAAAAGGTTCCCATCGCCTGCTCTTTTAGTCTAATCTATGCAAATCAATCGGGAACGTCGAAACTTACAATATATAGTGGGTGGTGAAAGTAAAATTCAAAAGCGACAAACAGACAACACTCTTAAAATCGATACACACACATAAACACACAAACATACACACATACACATAATCACACACACACAAAGACTTGATTAATCCCGATTCGAAATTGTCGATGTAAATCCGTTGTAATACTTTAAGTGACATTTAATCCGATTCCTGAATGCATATGTATACGCGATTACACCTTCATATTGTATAAAACACATACAAATAGACACTAACACACACATAGACAAAGTAATATACATAGTGAGTACCAAAACAAACAAATTCGCATACAGGAACAACGTAGCACATACACAAAGTCGCAAACATAACTTTTTTTCACACACACGCAGACTCTCTCACACACAAACATTTTCATACAAAAACTCCGTCACACACAAACTTTTTCACACACAATCTCCATTACACACAAAAACTCTTTCATACACAAACTCTGTCACACACACACAAACTTTCTCTCACACACATACAAAAACTCTCTCTTACACACACTAACTCTCTCTCTCACACATACACAAACTCTATCTGTCACACACAAATTCTCTCTCTCACACACAAATTCTCTCTCTCACACACAAATTCTCTCTCTCACAAACACACAAACTCTGTCACACACAAATTCTCTCTCACACACACAAATTCTCTCTCTCACAAACTAACAAACAAACTCACGCACAAACTAATACACATCACACAAATAAGCACACATATTCACACATACACACAAAAAAGCAAACACATACAACGCACACACAAATATTGTAGTACATATACAAATGAGTAAATAAACTAGTGGTGCATGGCATCGTGCCTTAAGACAAATTGCTGGAACTTTCCGTACCAAAAATTAAAATTTTTATAAAACAATCTAAAAATTTTTTTAGAACTTTGACAAAAACAGATTTCTGAGAACTTTAAAGTTCTTGAAGAAAATTGACTTTTTTGAATAAATAATTTTTTTTATACTTTGAAATATTTTGGAAATTTTGAAAAAGCAATCGCGGTAAGTAATCAAATCGCGTAAGCGCTGCATCGCAGTCAACGGATAAACAGTGCTACGGAACCCATAGAAATAAAAACAAAATTTATTCTTGTTATCAAAATTTCTAGAAAATATCTGATAATTTTATGTGCATACATCTAATGATTATTTTTGTTTGCCAAATGGCATTTTATTTTACTTTTTTTATTGGATCTCCAAAACGGTTGGACCTGCCTTTCCTTTCCAAAAATTTCGTCAGTTCTTCATTTTGTCAATACAAATGAAATGTTTTTGGCTCTCAAAAATTCAATTAACATTTTTTGCCTCGTATCTTTGGAATGACTGAACCTGACTTTGCCAAAAACTAATCAGCACGTCTCCTTATTAATAAGAATCGAACATTTTTTGAATTATTCAAATCGGTTGATCCGTGTTTTGGAAATTGTCGACAAAAAATTGTATCCTCACATACACACACACACAGGCACCCACATACATCAATTTTTTTCTGAGGTATGCCAAAATGCTCAGAAACCAATGAAATGTAAAGATATATAAAAATTTCGATTTTGCTCTACGAGAAGTTAAAAATGTAAAAATTCAATACTAAAATTTGAAGATAAAACTGTTTTTGTGAGGTACTGGAAATTTCTCTAGTTAGTCTAGAATATAATCCAAAAATGAATGTTACTACTTTGCTCCGTAATTCAAAATTTAATAAATTAATAAAATGCGCAGTAATAATAAATAAAAACCTTGAATATCAATGTGTGCAAATTTAATTTGAATGAAATTAATTAATTAGTTGTGGATTAAGCTGGCACTTGCATTGACTATTAATATGCCCTAGGAATGTTTGTATGCGGCATGTGTTTCAGTGGGTAAACCATTCATTTAATTTGTGTTAGCTGGCACTTTTACTTATATACCACATACATCTACATTCAGAATTAGTTATTTATTTTATATACATTTTATAAAAATGTTATAGAAATATTTCTTATTTTTAATTTATTCCTCATCTTATTTAACGTTTGCCGGGTCAACTAGTATATATATATATATATATATATATATATATATATACATTTGTGCGTGTCTTCATCTATTGGGGTTGATAAATGCATCATCAATTTACCCAGATGTCTTAGAGACAACTAATAACTTGATCTCTTAAATTAAGATTAATGGTGTTGCCTGATGACAGGCAGTTGTAATTAAAACTACTAACTCTATAAGAAATAAAATAGAAAAACTATTAATTTATATTAGCGCGAGATTTCACAAAACTTAAGTTGATTAAAATAAATCAAAGAAAACTACAAAAATATATGTGAATGAATTTCATTTTGTTTAAATAAATAACGTGACTCGCTGATATAAAAAAATGTACTAGATCACTTTTATCTAGTTGATAAAAAAAATGTTTTACTAGATCACTTTTATCTTTATTAATTTAACATTCTATATAACGGACCAAGATACAGCCCTTAAGGTACTCCAGTATGTAATCATTTCTAAGATTGACCATACATATCTTATATATAAAGGCCTTCTGTACGGGTGTATGATTTGATACTTCTCCTAAACGGTTATTCGTATTTTGATAATTCTTTCTAGAGTTTGTCAAAGGAAATTTTCAAGATGTAGTGAACAATCGTAGTAATAGTAATATTGTAGAAATAAGTGGCAAAAAAACACTTATCATTGTTTGACATTGAAAACATTTGAACTGCTTGAAATGTCAATTCACTCGAAATTTGAATTTAGCTGAAATTATGAGCCTAGATCATATTAGAATATAATATACAAGAAAAATGTAAAGTTTATGTGCCAGAAATTAAAATAATATAAGATACAGTCAACAGTATATGTTGGCAGATGAAATTATATAATTCAGTTTAATAAATAACACAATAAGTCCAAAATTGCATATACATTATTTTTGTAACTAATGCATGTCGCATTTTGGTTTACATTGCTAAATTATTTAACAATACAAAAAAATATTTCTACTCATTAAAAAATGATTTAGAATTTTGTTTCATGTGTCAAAAATTCATTTCTTAGGCATTGGATATGGAATATTTAGCAAGTTGATCTTATATTGAAGAGTGCAGATTTTACAAATTAATTCACCTAAGATTTGAACATAAACAATAATCTTTATTAAATTATTGATCGAACCGCGCACCTTGTTTTCACAACCTGGTACATACATTCACTGACTTTGACTTTTCAACTTCCCGAAAAAGAAGTTCCCTAATGCAAAATGCCACTTGCATCTAATTTTATATACCATTGTCATCAGCTTTCTTCCCCCTGTGGCATGTGTGGAATTCATGTTGATGCCAAAATCAGGAAAATCTATTAATCTTTCCCTTTTTCCAAAAAAACTTTTCTTCTTAAGACGCCAGAATGTCATAAAGGGCCTCCTGGAAGCATTCAGTCTTGAAATGTCATGTTACGGGTCACCGATTTTCAATAGAGACATCTGAGGAGCACCCTTCCTCTTACAAGGGGTAAAATTTAGACATTAGGGTTATGTTTGATAGGAAATTAATGAAGGGCTGGATGAAAAGACAGAGGATAAGATTGTCTTGTCAATATTTGATGATCAACTGTTATCTTTTTTTGTTCTAGATATCTATAGACAGAAGTCCTCCTTGACCAATTGGACGCCTGCCAGAGTGGAAAAAGGTGAAAGTGTAGAACTACGTTGTCTTGGTCCACGAGGAAACCCCAAACCAAGACTGCGTTGGATCAAAAACTACAACAGCAACTTTTTTGACATCAAAAAATTCACCAAGAGCGTCAACTCCTTGGAAGATGAAACCGGCAAAAGCACTAGCTCTTTAGGAAAAGGTAAGGTTGATATTGATTTTCACCATTTTGATTTGATTTAATGCTGATCTTTTACCCAGGTGTGGATCCCAAAGGCAGCATCACTTCTGATTCAGTTCGTGATCCGATTTCCAAAATTGACAGTGGTTTGTCTGATGTGTCCAGTGTTGGTGTAGCGAGTGGTAGAAGTGGTAAAAGTGGTGACAGTAGTGATTTTGTGGTTGATAGTGGTAATAGTGGCAGTGGTTTTGTGGACAATAGTAAGAATGCTCTGGATCCTAATGGTGATGGCAACGTTTTGGTCACTGATGAAGGGCATTTGCTGATCAATAATGCCAGATTGGAGGTAATAATTTGATTTCACTCTACATACATTTGACTTTCTGAAGTGTTATCAGATTTATGCATTCGGGTTTCTTGATTATCATTATATTTCAAATTCTGCTAAATTAATTTATATTTTAAATTCACTTTTTGTATTCATATGTTAAATTCTGCAAAAATTCTGTACGAAGAACTTCACACTTAATATATTTTAAATTCTATTTTTTAGATTTTTTAAATTCTACATTTAAATTCTATTATAATTTGATTCTATAAATTTTATTATGCGTTATTTACATTTAATATGTTTTAAATTCTACATTTTCAATTTTCACATTTTTCGCATTATATAATTTATATTCTATGAATTTCAAATTCTACATTTTTGCGTGTTTTTAAATTAAACTAATTTTGAAATACTGCCTCATTTTTTTAATTTAACCTGATCCTAAATAATGTTTTTTAATTTCTAGGAATTTTGGATACAATATTTTATTAAATTCTACTTGTTTCAAATTCAATACGTTCAATTCTATGCATTTTGAAATTTCACGTTTTTTAAATTCCATGCGTTTTTAAACATATATTTTTTAAATTCTACACGATTCTTTTCAAATAGTACTATAATTATTTTTTTTTTTTTAAATTCTACTGGTTAACTTATACTTTTTTTCAAATTTTGGGCATGGTTTTCTAAGATCTATGTTTTATATTTGAATTCTTCTTATAATATTCCATAAGTTGCTCTTAAAACTGTTGAAATTCTATTAATTTTGAAATTCCATATATTTCATTATATTTAAAGTTTTTTACGTTTTTCTAAATAATACGTATTTTTCAGTTTAAGGTATTTTTTAATACAATATTTTATCAAATTCTGCTTGTTTTCAATTTAACACAAAATTTATATAAAATATACATATTGAAATTTTGTGATTTTAAAATTCCTCTTCCTCTTCCATTTTCATTCAATATTCTACAATTTTATAAATTCTATTGCACCATGGTTTCCGGAAGTCTAGAATTTGATTTCCGGTTTCTGGATCACATACCAATTTAATTTTCTTAGTTTCCGGTTTCCAAGATTCAAAGTTCTTGGTTTCCGGGTTCCAGGTTCTTGATCTAAAATCATACATGCATTCTTACCATGAATTCTCATCATAAATACGTTCTTAGAGTTGTTTTTACAATTGCTTTTAAATTATTGATACTCTTAAATTCTATATTTTTTGTAATTCCATATCTTGTGCATTCTATTTCGTCCATTTTCATTCAATATTCTACAATTTTTCAAATTTTATTGAACCCTGGTTTCTGGAAGTATAGAATTTGATTTCCGGTCTTCGGAAATTCCTCTTCCACTCCATTTTCTGTTTCCGGTTTCCAAGATTTAAAATTCTTGGTTTCTAGATTCCAGGTTCTTGATTTAAAATCATACATACAATCTTACCACAAATTCTTATCATAAATACTTTCTTAGAGTATAAATATATAAATGGCTTTTAAATTATTGATACCATTAAATTCTATACTTTTAAAAATTCCATATCTAGTGCATTCTATTTCTTCCATTTTCATTCAATATTCTACAATTTTATAAATTTTACTGAAGTCCGGTTTCCGGAAGTCTAGAATTTGATTTTTGGTCTTCGGATCTTCCTTTTCCTCTTCCATTTTCTTATAATTAGTTTCTGGTTTCCAAGATTTAAAATTCTTGTTTTCCGGATTCCAGGTCCTTGATTTAAAATCATACATACATTCTTACTATAAATTCTTATTATAAATACATTCTTAGAGTTGTTACTTTAAATTGTTTTCAAATTTATCATACCTTTAAATTCTACATTTTTAAAAATTCCATACTAATTGCATTATATTTCTTCATTCCATGTTCATTCAATATTCTACAATTTTTCAAATTTTATTGCACCTTGCTTTCCGGAAGTCTAGAATTTGATTTCCGGTTATCAGATCTTCCTCTTCCTCTTCCATTTTCATTCAATATTCTACAATTTTCCAAATTTTATTGCACCTTACTTTCCGGAAGTCTAGAATTTGATTTCCGGCCTTCGGATCTTCCTCGTCCTCTTCCATTTTCATTCAATATTCTACAATTTTCCAAATTTTACTGAACCCTGGTTTCCGGAAGTCAAGAATTTGATTTCCGGTCTTCGGATCCTCTTCCATTTTCTTCTTTTCCGGTTTCCATGATTTAAAATTCCTGGTTTTCGGATTCCAGGTTCTTGATTTAAGATCATGGTTGTCAGGTTTACTTGCTTTAACTTTGGTGTCTTCTAAATTTTCCAGGACAGTGGCAACTACACCTGCATAGCCGAGAATATTTCGGGCAGACGGATTAGTTCCCAGGTCATGCTGACAGTATATGGTGAGTTGACTTTAATTTTTAATAGACTTATAAAGGCGTATAAACTTGCTCTCTTATTTTATTACACTCGCTTATAGTAAGATTTGCGAGCAAATAAAAGATAAAAGTCTTTCAGTACAAAGTTAGGCTATCTTCAGGAATATTTATAAGACCGTTTTTAGAGAATCTAATAAGCTTGCTCTGTTGTCTTAGAGTAAGATAAGAGCACGAGAAGGAAAGTTGATGATGATACTAGCATAAAACATAATACTTTAAAAATATTTTAAACTAGCTGACCCGGCAAACGTTGTTTTGCTATAATAAGGTATATTCTAAACCATTTCTAGAGAATCAAAAATATTAATACTTTAAGTGCATAAGGATCTGTTGTTTGAATGCTGTATACAATTAGATATTATAAAAACAATAAACCCCATTAGTTTGTCTATATTTTGTCAATACAATCAAACTGCAAGTTTTATACACTTCTATAGAAAACATCGTGTGATCCAATCCGAGTCTTTTTTGGTCTTTCGGTTTTTGGTCTTTATTAATTACGTTTCAAGTTTTTCAGATTCTTTTTGGATTCTGGATTTTTGTGTATAATTGTAAATAATACTACTGAGCTTATACAAAATTTTCAAATTTTTGCGAGGAGAGATAAAAAATGAATTAAGTATTTCTTCTTTGAAAAGTTTCAAGTTATATTCGATGAATTGAAGTAAATTTAATAAAAAGTATATAATAATAAGTCAAATTGGACCTTTGTGACATGCAGGGCGAGGCACAAAGGTCCAATTTGACTTCGAGCAATATAAACTATATTGTGAAAACCATAACAATTATATCACAACAAATAAGACATATCAAACGAACAATTATCTGACTACGTTCAGTAAACTGACTTCTACTTCATCATTGTAGAAATGTGCTTTTTTGATGTCTTCCAAAAATTTGTTATCTAGACCTTTTTATCCTATACGCGGGGTAACTTGTAACGGGCAGGTGGCAAAAGGTTTAAAGCCTTATTATAATTTTAAAGGTATTTTACAAAATAATTACATTTTTAACTAATGCAAAAATTACGGAAGAAAATACTTTTATTATGGATTTTCAAAGATTACCGTTTATCTCCCCCATTTCAAAGATTATCGTTTTCAAATCAAGTTTGTAGCTGGCTATACATCTTTTTTCCTCTACTTTCAAATATTGTTGTTAAACCATGCTTAACTTTACTGATTTTTGGCACATCGGTGGTGGACCTTTTTAATCCCGGACCTTCATATATTACTATCTATTCTGCGATAAATTATGGGAAATTATAACTGGAAAAATGTTATTCGACAAAATGTCCATTTGATCGATACCAAATTTAGGTTCTGAATTTAAATAAGATAAATAAAAAATAATATAACCTAGAAAATATTTTATCAATACCAATGAGTATATAATTATACAAATGAGATCTTTCAGAACACCGTGTTTGAGAAAAATATGCCAAAAAGTGCATTTTCATATTATCATATCAAAAAAGTTTATATTTTGAGTCTCTAGTAACACTTGCGGCCCGTTTACTAACGTTTTTGTATATAAATAAAACTACAAACAAAACTACTTACTACAAATTTATCATAAATAAATAATATTCGCGTAAAACATCCTATTAAACATAATCGAACATCATCTGTCAAAAGCGTTTGACATTTCACGTAATTGCCACGTAATTGTTTTATTTAAATTACGCTTCTACAAAATTTTCAAGTTAAAAATGTAAAGTTTCTACGCGGATTTGAAATAATTTCTCACCTTTTGGACTTTCTCTGGATTGGCACGAATTTTTCAAGACTAAGACTGGCCAAATCGATTCAGACGTTTTCGAGCTTCATTCGGACATTTGAAAGAGAGCTCCATTTTTATATATAAGATATATAGCCCCTGGTTTATAGTTTCTTCAAAAACAAAGTTTGAGAGATTTTAATTTGCTATAAGATTTTCGGTTTAGATTTAAAAGATACAAAAATATAAATGAATGTTCTCGTATCAACATTTATAAAAATATTTATAAAAAACGCTTGTTCATAAGAGATTTTCAAATAAAATTCAAGAAAAATTTACAAAAATATCACACTGCACGATACGTGTATGGATATTAACCTCATCAAGAATATACATTTTTGAAATATTTTAAAAATATAAGCATCTATAAGACAGTTGTCCACTAAGACAAAGTTTTAGGGATTTTAATTAGCTATAATTTTACTTAATATTACTTTCCAATTTAAGACGTAAGTACGAAGTTATCATTAAAAATATAAATAACTACCCTCAAATTTCGTTTCTGCACATTTATGAAATTGCTACATTAACAATATTTAACTTCCCGTATGGTGAGTACCAATAATCGCAAAAATCGAAAATATTTTGTTTTACATATCTTTACGTTTCAAGGTCTCCTGAACATTTTGGCATACCTTAGGAACAATGGATGTATATGCAGATACAAACTTTTGTCGACCATTTCAAGAGCACGGATCAACCAATTTGAATGATTCAAAAACATTTTTCTAATCTAGGGGATCTAATAAAAAAATGCCATTTGGTGGTCAAAAATGATCATTAGACATCATTTTACAATCAAATTATCAGATATTTTATAGGAATGCTTATAAGTACAAATTTTGTTTAAATGTTTGCCTAGATTTATAATGTCTAACCGTTAGCTATTGCGACGCGGCGCTTAAGCGCTTCGATTTTTCGATTCTAAAACAGCTACGCAGCGCGATCGCTTTGAAAAAAAAATCAGAAATTTCAAATCGATTTAAAAAAAAATAAAAATTATCAAAAAACTAAATTTTTTAAAGTTTTACAAAAAAGTTTCAAATGTGTTCAAAGTTTTTGAATAATTATAAAGCTCTCAAAAATATTAAATTAGGTATTTGAAGATTCAGCAATTTGCCTTAAGGCACGACGCCACTTACAACTAGTTAGATTATTTAGGACAAAATTAAGTATTTTCGAATATTAATAGAAATTTAGAAAGAATCTTGGTGCGATATAAATTATAGTATTTAGAAATCGTTTGGAACGTATAAATCTCAAACGTAAGTCTCTTAGCTGTAATAGATTAAAAATAGTTTCTCCGAATAATATATTACATGTATATATAAGCATATATATATATATATATATATATTTATATTTATATAAGTATATAAACATATATAAATCAAACAATTATAAATATAGCCAATATATAAATTGTAAGAAGATGCATTAGTGACCCGCGAACATTTTGTTTACAGTACAACAGGATATTTGGATTTATATGTATATATATATATATACATGTGTATATGTATATATGATAGGATATAAATTATAAATACATATAAATACAAATGAAAATACAAAAAAGTCTTCTCGTACGGACGAACGGAGACCACACACGTTAGGAGGCGCGTGCGTGCTTAGCAATTATATCGGCTCATCTCTCTTTTGATTTTTTTTGTTTTTTATTTTGGCTTTGTTCCGGGCAGGTAGAATTATAGAATTATATATATATATATATATATATATATATACTAGATGACCCGACAGACGTTGTCCTGTACCCATTCTACAATTCAAAAGTTCCAAATTTCTTAATACCCTATATTTTTTAATATCCTATTTGATGTCCCACCTTTGTGATTCATATATGGTCTTAGCATAAGCAGTATAAGAAATTCAGAAAAAACTAATATAGTATCTGCGGTAAAAGAACAAATTCACACTTGATTTCAACACCCAACATTATTGCTTCAATAATTTAGTCTTTAATTTTAATAATCTCGTACCATATATCAGTTGCTTTTTGGCAATTATAATTTCCAAAATACAGTTTTGTTACTAATAATTTAATAAACATTAATGTTTATGTTCAAATCTTACGTGAATTAATTTGTCAAATCTTGTTTATATGTGCACTATTCAATTTAAGATCAACTTGCTAAATATTCCATATCCAATGCCAGACAAATGAATTTTTGACACATAAATAAAATTCTAAAACATTTTTTTTAAAAAGTACAAACATTGTTTTGTGTTGTTAAATAATTTAGTAAAATCTGCCAAATATATACTGTTGACTGTATCTTACATTATTTTAATTTCTGGCACATCTCAGCTACTTTTCGGCAATAATAATGTAGGCATTACATTTTTTTGTATATTATATTCTAATATTATCTAGGCTCATAATTTCAGCTAAATTCAAATTTCAAGTGAATTGACATTTCTAGCAGATGACAGTTTAAATGTTTTCAATGTCAAACAATGATAAGTGTTTTTTTGCAATTTTTGCTATTTATTTTTACAATATTACTATAGTTTTATCTTTTATTAAATCTTAAAAATTTCCTTTGACAAACTCTAAAAAAAATTTATCAACATCCGAATAACCGTTTAGGAGAAGTATCAAATCATATACCCGTACAGAAGAATTTTATCTATAAGATATATGTACATGTAATATATTTTTCGGTAGTCTAATAATCGGGCATAGCATCAATAAAAACATAATTTCTTTCAAAAATTTATTTTAAATTCATACGTTTCGGCTATAATCCTAGTCTTCATTCAGTGGAAACTAAAAATAAAATTAAAAACTAAAACAATTGAATTGGAGTGAAAAGAAAAAAAAAAGTAAATAGTACTTACAATTAGTTAATCTTAGTGTTAAATGGGAAGATTTTAATAATCCATGGTATCAGGATATGGTAATGCACTACACTATGTATTATAAACATTAAACTTATAACTACACAATATTTTCACAAAATACTAATTTAAAAAATCACAAATAGTTAGTATGTTGTTCGTACATTGGTTGAAGTCATAATGGAGATTTTTTTAAATATTTTTACCAAGATTCTACATATGTGTGGTACTATTTGCGAATACTTTGCGCACATTTTTTATTGTTTTGTGAAAATTTTGGAAATTTTATAGCATGTTGAGTTCATTGCGTTTATTTATTGTTC